AGGTGAAACCGAACAGTAGCAGCAGAGGAAGCTTGTAAAACTAAAACAAGCCACAAAGACGCCTGGCAAGGGCGGGAACTTTCAGTCAATTTGTTTTTTCAGAGTGTGACCTCATGCTTAACTCGCATTATGAAACTAACAAGATGGACGGTGCTAACCACTGAGCCACCTTGCAGCCCCTCAGAAGAAATGACATAAGACATAGAGACAACTTAAGTTTGATTGATTTTGTCTCAGGTAGACGATGGAAAAGTGTTTTTTCTGAAGGGTTGTGAAGATGGAGTTATCTGTTGTTGCAAATGAACTCTTCAAATGCTCCATTAAAAGTAAAAGTGTTCATGGAAAATTTATTTTAAACAGAAGTATATAAGCATTTAAAGCAACATGTAGTTGCAGCATGAAAGTGAAAGTGCTGGTTTGCTCATTCTGACTGGTATATTATTATATAAGACATTAGTGAAGCTTCAGTGTGTCAGCAGCAGGTTGTTGTTGCAGCTGCTGCAGGTTTGACCTACTTAATGTACAGATTTATACACAGAGACGGCAGATAAAGAAAAAAAAAAGGAAACTGATCCACAAGTCTGATTTCAGAACTTCTTTCTCTAATCTTGAATTTTTGGTTAGATGTCAGATCATTTTCTGAAATAAAACCACGTGAGATGTTTAGAGGTAAAACATAATATTTGGTGGAGTTCTTAAGAATGCATAGAAACCAGAAACGTGACCTCAGTAACCTTCTTGGAGGTTGAAAAACTTGGTGTTGCATTTTAAAAGCTTGTTGTATTTGCGTAAAATCTTCTTCTTCACATGAACTAAAGCTGCTAAATAACTGCAGCAGAGTAGAAAGCACAATATTTACCTCTTAAATGTAGTGGTCAGTATAAAGTAGTATGAAAAATACAATACTGGAGTACTTCAAACAGCACCTGAGTGCAGCACTTTATGTATTTAGTTCATTCAAACCGCTGCTTTAGAATTACGTAAGATACAACATGTGTACACAAAAAAAGACTGTATTGTCAGGATTTTCAGTGTAACGGATGTGTTACAGTAGTCCTCCAGATATTATGTAATGTGAAAAGTGCAATTTTCAACCAAAGGCTTCCTCGGTTTACACTCAGGATTCTCATGAAGTAAACTGATCTCACACTCTGACAGCTAAAGATTAGGATCTGCTTCTAAGTGTAAACTCGCTCTCATCCTGGACTCTCACCACTATTTAATCTGGCAGGCAGCCCAGGAAATGATGCTCAGCAAAAAAACAAAACTAACGAACGGAACGTCTGTTAAATGGCAGACGGCAGAACTTTATTTGTTGTTGCTACTCGCAGCGTTAAATAAGTCCCTCATTTGTACAGTGAAGCTGATAAATCAACAGAAAACACCGACTGGGACAGAAGCAGAATATTCTTCTGTTTTTCAACAGAACTGACCCAGTTTAATGTCTTCCATCCATCCAGTCATTCGGTGTGCTGCTACACAGATAGCACGCACACTGAGTGGAAAAGCATTTTCCGCGTGTGTGAGTCAAAGGTATAGCTCAAGCTGACAAGTCAAATACAGCTTTAAGGCTCACACACGCTCAGATATGAGCCCCCACAATCATCCTCGCATTACACAAATTTGTCACCGATGACCTCGAAGATAAAAGATCTACATCCTGCAAGTAGGCTGTTAAATGTTTCTGATGTTTGGTGACACATCTATAACCGCATCTCACACAGTCGTCGCTGCTGAGAAACATCTGTTGAGATTCAAAGGATAAGATCAAGATGGAAAAAACCCAAACCGAAATGTAGGGTAAATGTAGAATTTTGCTTGCATATCAATTTGCAGCGTGTCAAACAGAAGGAGCTGCTTTTTATAGATTCCGCTGTAAGGAGCTCTAAACAAAGCGCAAAAGGCCGCGGAAGACGCAGGAGCTCAGCTAATTAGTGCGACTGCTTCGGCGTGTCGCTGCTTCTCAAAGTGTTCCTGGAACTAATCAGCTGAGGCTGGAAACTGAGGAACTACGAGCCGAAGAGGAGCGAGGGGCGCTGGCGGCCGCTTCCTTCCCGTGATGCTCTCTGGTCTGGCGGGCGGCCGCCGTCCTTTGGCACCGCGTCTGTCACTCACGAGCAAAACAATGCTGGAGGTCAGGCTATTAAAAATCACAATAGCTCCTGTTTGTGCTCCTCAACGTGTCAAGGTTCATTTGTGTTCAGCAGACTTGAAAGGAAAAGAGGAGAGAACGGTGATGATGACAAAAACAGACAAAGTGAGGGGACGTACTGAAGTAAAAGATCCACATGGAGACGGAAAGAATTCAAATAACATAAGAGGAGAGCAAAACACATATTATATTAACCTCAAACCTGTTATTCTCCATGAATGCAGCTCATGTTTTTGGCATCATTGACGTACTGAAGTCCTCTCGCAGTTCAACAGCTCCCTCCTTTGACTGATTGTATGTTTTCACTGTCAGTGTGTAACATTGACCTCACGCATGTTCAAATCCTGGATCAAAGGTGAAGGATAACCAACATGTCATGTGGTGAAACATTAGTTTTATCACCATAGTGCATTCTTTTGAGTCATCTCAACAGCAGCAGAAAAATGAACAGGTGCAATAACACCATGAACAGTAGCTTTGATCCACTCGTGCCACATGACAGTGAGATATTAAGCCAGCATGAATAGTAGCAGGACCCTGGAACTGAAGCAGCTAGATGGGATTAGTTATTGTAAATTTAACTCACTGAACTCCACAACATGCCAGCAGGTTTAAAACCTGTGTTTTCTTTTTATTGTAATTAAAACTGCAGCATTTGTCATCACAAGAAGCTGAGAAAACAGAAAGAACTGTCAGGTTTTTACTTTCCTGATGGAAATCTAATGAACACTTAATGTGTGTTGTGCAGAAAAAAACACACTAAATATCAGCTTAAACTGTCATATTTCATCAAAATAACTTTATTCTACATGCCCCATTCAAAGGATTAATTAACCTTTTGCACCCGATTCTGTAACAACAAGCGACTCTGAACTCCTCAGCGCAACCGAGAAACCACAAGTGGAGGTGAACCCGAGGTTGTGTTTGCACAGAGCAGATAGACTGCACTCAATGGATCAATACAATAAATGCAGAATGGCTCAAAAGCAGTACACAGAGGAGTAAGTTATTGGAGGATGCATTCAGCATGATGAAACATGACTCTAGAGTTGATTTGCAGAGCAGAGTGACAAACTTTACTTTGTAGAGGTTGTAAAAATGTAAATAGGACTCATCAAACAGTCCATCTATAGCATGTGGAGCTTCCCTTTTTTTTCCCTCCCAGTGCTGATAACATCTGTGGGCACTTGGAAAAATATTGTACTGCTTGATTGTAGTCTTTCCTTTTTGTATTTTCTTTAATAATTTATCACATTTTTATTGTGTTATGCTGCATAAAAAAGAAACTTGTAGTACCTTTGCCTCTAGCTATGGTTGTGCTGTTTCCATAGTGATACAGGACTTTAGACTGAAGTGAAAAATGAGCCCACAGTGGGTAGAAAAGTCACAGGAGTCAAATTCAAAGTCAGATTTATTTATAAAATGTATTTATAAATTACATTTAAATCCAGGAAGAGCTGAAAGTGATGCAAAATTTAAATGCCAGGTCAGAAAACACAACAGAATAATTATAGAGGTTGACTTGAAAACTTTAACAAAATTGACCGTATAAAGAAATTAAAAGAGCAGCAGAATTCTATTTATTGCAGCATGGAGGTTTTAAAGCCGTATTTAGACCCTTGTGTTGGAAAATATATCTGTAAGGCTTCATTTTAAGGGGCTGTAAGTTCCCTGTAATTTTCTGTAACTTTAAAATGGCACAAATAATAATAATAAAAAAAAACCTTCAGAAAGTCTAACTGAACCGCCTATTAGATTTTAAACAAATTAAGTTGTGCTTATAAGATCCCAAGAGGGAGAGGGAAAGAAAAGAGACTTTCTTTTTTTAGGAAATTATGGAACATTTGGGGATTTTGACGTCTGTATTTGGTAACATACGGGATCACACAAATAAAACAGGCTAGAACTGAACTAAACTTAATTATCCCCTCAACTTTAAAATCAACAAAAACTAATCAATTATGTAAAATAATAATAATAATAATAATTTCTTGCAGCATGGAGGTTCTGAAGCAGTATTTAGACGTCGTGTTGGATAATAAGTTGGTAAAACTTCAATTTAAGGG